CAGGGGAGACATGATAGCAGTCTTCCGATGTCTCAGGGGCTGCCCCAAAGAAGAGGGAGTCAAGCTATTCTCCAAAGCACCTGAGGGTAGAACAAGAAGCAATGGGTGGAAACTAATCAAGGAGAGAAGCAACTTAGAACTGAGGAGAAATTTCCTAAGAATGAGAACAATAAATCAGTGGAACAGCTTTTCTTCAGAAGAAAAAGGACGACTATGTCCGTGATAGCGAACCTGTGGCACACAGAGCCATTTGCTAGGGCACATGAGGCATTGCCCTGTTACAGTGCACATGTGCACGCTGGCCAGCTGATTTTGGCCTTCTTTTGAGGTCATTTTTCGCCCTCTAAAGGCTTCAGGGAAGTTCTTGAAACCTTCGGGGAAGCCGGGGGGGGGCCCTGTTTCCGCCCTCCCGAGGCTCCTAGAAAGCCTGGGGAGGGCGAAAAAACCACAGCAAAAGCAGGGGGGGGTTGCTGGATGCGCACGCATGCGCAGCATGGGGAGGCGCACATAGGATTACGGGTGTGGCACCACCACCACCCCCTGCGCTCTCCCCACACGGGAGCCAAAAAAGGTTAGCCATCTCTGGACTACCGTATTTTTCAGAGTATAAGACGCACCTTTCCCCCCCCAAAAAAGAAGCTGAAAATCTGGTTGAGTCTTATACACAGAATACAGCATTTTTGGCTTCCCAAAAACCCCTTGGCAAAAATGGCCGTGCATATCCTTTAGGAGGCTTTCAAAGAGCTCCTGCGGAAACCAGCAATGAGTGGAAAATGGCCCATTTTTTGCTCAATTTTGCCCCCCCCCCTTCCTGGAACCCCCAAGAGTACTCTATAGGCCTCCTAAAGGCTATGCATGCAATTTTTTTGGACAAAAAAACGGCCCATTTTTCTGAAAAAATGGCCATTTTTTGCTTGTTTGGGGGGGTGGTGCCCCCCCCCCCCGGAACACTTTGCAAGCCTCCTAAAGGCTACTTATGCCTTTTGGGGCGGGGGAATCATAAAAACGGGCCGTTTTTGGGAGGTTTTGCTGAGTGCAAAAATGTTTTTTCTAAAAATTTGCCTCTTCAAAGCATCTTGGTGCGTCTTATACTCCGAAAAAAACGGCATGTCATGGCCCAGTTGGAGCCCGAGGATGAGACTAGGAGCTAGGGCCAATGGGGGAACGACTGGAGGAGCAGATTGAGGCAGTCCCAGATCCCTCAGGCTAGGGAAGGGTCGCCAGCGAGGGAGAGGGGGCAGAGGAAAATCAGGTTTGGGGGGGGGGGGAGGCAGGCAGTGGAGCAGACGAGAAATTATCTCCCTCCCCATCCCAGAGGAGGAGGGATCAGCACAGGGCAGTCCGAATACTCCGGAGAAGGGCACCCCGCCCCTCTTCACAAGGCTCACCTGGGGAACGAGGTTTAAAGTGACGCTGTTTGCCAGGAACAAACGCTGCTTTTTCCATCCTCACAGGCTGTTACCAACGTCTGGATACTTTGCTGGGCTTGCCTGCCTTGTCTGCCATGCTGCCTGTCCATCTGTGAGGTCGCAGTGATACAGTTATACTCTGGGTGATGCTGCGGTACCAGTGAATTCTTTCGGTGACGAGGACTCCTTGGGAAATACGACACTGAACTGGGGCTGCTCTCAGAACTGAGCTGCTCCTCTGAATTAATAGCAGCCAGGAACTATTAGAAATTTGCTCTCGGATTTGCAGTAACATATCTTAGTAGTGTCCTGAGTCAGGAATGCTAAAAAACTACCCCATTTTGTGATGTGGTGTTTCCCTGGGCANAGTACATCACAGCAGGAAAATTTGACCTGAAAAACCAACAAAACCAAATGCATGTAATTTAATAAATTATAAACCTATTTTACTGGCATCAGCAGGACATGTGTATAGGGACCAGATAAGAAGAGAGGAAAGGTAGTCATAGATGAATCATTTTTGTTTATCTTAGTTTATTATGTTTGTGAATCAGTCAAGTTAAGCTTTTTTTTCAATTCATTTTTAAAGTTACCTTTGTCAGTTCAGTTTAAAATCATCTATTTCAAGATTTTTCTCATGGATGTTATTGATAAATTATCTCTATTTTTCTTGTGTTTAGCCCATTTCTGTAACTTACCAAGACTATCTTGAATTTTAATTCTGTCTTTAAAGTCTCCAATCAATTTTGTGTTATGCTCAGATTTGATAAGTGGTTATTCATCACTTTTTCGTGGTCCATCAATAAAATTATTGAAGAATACATAATGTAAGTATAAACCATGTTTAGATATTACTTAATACCTCATTGGGTATTATGTAATATGCAATTGATGTTGAACATAGATTTGATGAAGAATCATGGAGTCCTTTGAGTATGAAAACATTATATCCATTTATTCTCACATAGCCTATATTTCACTAACTTTCTAATTATAATGTCACGGTGTGTTTTATATAATGTTGATTAATATTTAATATAAAGGATTCCAGGCAGTCTACTAAAGATACCCAATCATAAAATATGAGCAGATTGGTCTGACAAAACTTTTATTGTCAAATCTATGTTGGCTTCTAATACTTACTACCCTACTTTACAAACTGCTTTATTATCTACTCAAAAATCAAGATGTTTTTAGCCAAACAGGTTCTGGATATTCATTTTCCACTCCAGAGTTTTTGAAAACAGGGACAATGTTTGCCTCCTTCCATTCACCTGGCACTCTGGGATTTTTCAAAGAGAATACGTATAAAGGTTCATCTAGCTCATCTGCAAGTTCCTTCAGTACCCTAGAATGCATTTCATAAACTTCATTAATGAAGTTAAATAGTTAAATAAATAATTTATATATTTGCTAAATCAAGTGTGTCCATCCTGCAGTTCACATGCAGCCCTGGAAAGCTAATAATCAAGATCATAAACTTTTAACATTATAATGTTAAA